CCCATCATGTTGCATGCTGTCGGCTGTCGGTTGTCGGTTGTCTGCTGTGGGGGTGGAGGTGGAGGAGGAGGTGGGTGGCAGCATCCGCAGAAAGTGAACAAATGCCAGTCGAAAGATTTAAAGAGATGTGCACGTTAAATGCTTTACGTGTGTATTGTGGTTAGGCCAACGGCACAAGCCAAATGGCAACTGTTCATGTATCTGCGTGTTTGTGCGTGGTCGTTGGCTGTGTCAATATGTATGGAGCCAATAAACCTGAACAGTGGAACACATGTCGCTGCAAGGTGCAGTTAAATGAACTCAGTTTTAGAAGAGTAACTTCAATTCTAAAAGAAACTAATTGCTTTAAAACATTTCATATTTCACCTGGTAGTATTGAGTCGCTCCCCAAGTATAAGTAGAAGTAGAATTCATTGAAAAGTAATTTTCGATTCCACTATACCGTCTACTTTACTTCACCTTTAAGAAAGTGTGTCGATTTTGTTTCCCACGGTTTTTGTTGTGTTAACTCAAATTCAAACGACATGCATTTAGATATTAAAAAGGTTAAAATAAATTCATGATCATTATTATTATAAGTCGATTCTAAAAAATGGCTTGATTGAATTGGCTAGAGTTTACCTTATAGGAAATCATTGAATGTGTAGAATCAAACGATGCAACTTTAATATGAATTCACGTCAATTCCGATTGTGCTTTTAAAGTCTGTATACAAATGTTAAAAGGGTATACCAATTTAGTGCGAATGTATGTAACACACAGAAGGAGGCGTGGCAGACTCCTAAAAGTATACATTTCCTTGATCAAGACGAGTCGATATAGCCATGTCCGTCCGTCCTTTCGTCTGTATCTCTGTCTGTATGAGGATCTCAGCATCTCAGAAAGTACAAAAGCATGAATAACCAAACTTGGTATTGAGGTTCCTTTAAGCCCTAGTTTATGGTTTCATATTGTTTAGCTTTAGCACATCAACAACTTTTCACTCTTCTTCTTGCCATAAAGCATATGTAGTATTGTACGCAGACCAGAGCTTCGAGGCAGCCACTCTACTCCACTGCATTGGTATTATATTTATTGTGAATAAAAAAAATATTGTGAATATACACTATGACTAGACATGCGTTCCACTGTAATCGAGCCATTGGGAGTTCTTTTTATTATTGTTCTAGAGTCGTTGACATTGTGGCAGGAAAAGAGACGAGACGAGACGAAGTCTAACAAATTGACAAAACCATTTCGCCTGGAGGGTGCATAAATTCAATTTAAAATATGTATGTAAACCTTTGCGATGAAGCTTTTCATTTTGCGGTTAAACTAATTGAGTCGTCTTGTAAATATGTAAATGCGTTCTCGTTGTCACTCTCGTTGTCGTTTTCGTTGTCGCACTCGCCGTCGCTGTCGCCCACACCCTTTTTCACTGGCGCTTTAATTGTCAACCCTCGGCACGAATTTAACACCGCATTAATTTGATAAAACAATAGCAAGAGCGATTTGTTGTTCCCTTTGCTGTTGGTGTGTGCGTGTAGTATGAGCAACTGTGTGTTTGTTGTTTTAGCTGCCGCTGCATTGGGACACGCCCAATTTCCGGTTGAGTGCTTCTGCTGTCATTGACGATGGTTTAATGAGCAACGCATGAAAAGTACTGCAAGTGTAAAATCAATTATTGCACATTGTCTGTCTGCCACGCGCGCCAGGTGCCTTTCTTTGCCAACTCGAAGACGCCTCCAAGTCGCCATCTCGACGCTAACGCCATTTTGAGCAGCAGCTGAGCTAATTGAAACATATGGCAGGCATCAACATCTGAATAGCAATAATATTTCACTATGGCTATCGATTCCGATAGCCTAACAACCCACTAAAATGTTCCATTTGCTGTCTTTCGGGACTGCGGCGCCAACATCAACATGAACGTCAACGTCAAAGTCAGAGCCGATTCCGACGCCGCCATCGATGCCGGCGCGACGCACTCTCATTATCGGACTTGTCGTTTAAGGGGAAATAAGGTCAAAAGTGTCACATCATGCGTAATGATGATGACGATGAGAGCATGACGATGATGTGCTGTCGAAAGTTATTACACGAAATAAGTTGGAGTGCAAAACAGTTCCCAAAATTAAAATGCAGTCAATTCTTTTTAAATGGAACGTTCCAGAACCATTTTATAATATATGTTTTATAGTATTATGAAGAAACACAACTGGTTTAATAAACAAAAATACCAATCTGTATAGTTATTATTTTTCATTTCCTTGTAGTAACATTATCCGAGGAGAAATGGCTTTCTATGTGCATGTATTGTCACAAAATGAAATCGGGTACACTCATCTGCCATTTCCCACATCTATTAAAAAATACAAATATTAACATTTTATCGATAAGTATAGTATTGTGGACGTTTCTGGAAGCTTTAGGTACAGAAACAAAAATACTTAGCCTGCAACAAAGTGAACAAATTTAACTTACATTTTAGTGATCACTATTGAATTAAAAAAATAAATTGGAACAGTGCCATCACCATAGCTAGAATCAAAAAAGGGCTTTTATATTTTATTCTGTTATTCTAATTACTCCAGTGGAGTCGTCGTACAGAAGTTCCACTGCATAATTATAAACGGCTGTTGTGGAAATTAACTGACAACACGGCGTATGCGTAATGAGTAATGTTTTGGCTACTGCGTGCGCTGATAATTGCGCTTTCAAGAGTTTGCCATGCGACGCGCTTGGACGGCTGTCTGCTGTCTGTCTGTCTGTCCGTCTGGCCGTCTGACTGCCTGGCTGGCTGTCAGACTCTGACAACTTGCACATGGTCAGCCGCCGTATGCGTATGCCAACCTCGCTCACCTTGTAATTTGAGCCCAAATTTACGTGCACACACAAAAATGTTTAAGAAGGAAGCACTTATCCAACTAGTCAGTCATCTAGCCAAGCGAACAGCCAGCATCCATCAATCTGGGCAGCGGCGTCTGCATCTGCATCTAAGTTTGTGCCTGCGACTACGCCACTGAACTGGCGTTTGCATCTAATCGCGGCACAGATTATATCGCACATCCATAGGTATGTATGAATACATATCTACATGCATACATACATATGTACATACTGAAATACACTTGGAAAAAATATCATGCAGTTCCTTTTAAAATCAACAACGACCCTGTACCCGAATGATTAAAATGGTATATTGGAAGTATATGGAAGAAAACATCTCCGTTCCCATAAAGTATAAACATATATTCTTAATCAGCATCGACTAGACATTTCCGTCTGTCTGGATGAGCGCCTGGATTTCGGAAACGGCTGAGCCCACATCAGTAGACTCTCCTTATTCCCAGGCAACACGAGTTCATTTTATTTTTTCCTTCTGCTATGGTGCAACGATGCTCTGCCGCGGGTATGCCTGCCGGCCAGTGGGTGCTGTAATTTCTGTTGGGCACCCAAAGGAAAGAGCCGTCAGATTGTTCCAACGAGCGGCTGTGTTTTCAATTCTTTATTAAATTCTAGCCTGCATGGGCAACAAACTAAACTAAAACTCCATCTTTAATATAAAGTTAACTATCCTTACAAATACTCCAACATCCTAAGCTTAAACTATTGCCGTCCTGCTCCTTTGTGACGACACCCTGTGACGAACACCAGGGCGTCGTTACAATGTGCGCATATATATAAATCAGGGCCGAAAGTTTGTTTGGGTACAGGGTATTTCACTATCGGGCTTGCTCGAATCTAGCATAATTTTTTCTTAGTATTGATTAAAACACGATCATAGTTGTTATCATACTCCGTTGGGCTTTATTTAAGTTAAATCAATCAGTATTTTAGACTGATTTAAGAGTAGTTTCGGTGAGTTTTCGCTGAGTGTAGGCTCTCCGGTTCCATATATGGGTTGTAGAACGGTTCCCAGGGCACTCTGCCCAGTTGCCAGCGCCAGCCATAATGACGATGACGTGTTGCCTTGTGCGCCGTGCATTTGTGTGAGTGACAGTGACGCGTCACTTTTTGGTGCCATGCATTTGGGATTTTCGTCGATCAGCGATCATCGGCCGAGAGATCGCCCTGCACATTCATATGCATAAGTGCGTGAGTGTGTTCGTCTCTCTCTCTCTGTGTGTGTGTGTGTTTGCTTACTGCATGGATATTTTCATAAGGCAGCTAAGTAAACCACTCAAGTAGGACATCAAAATTGACGTTGCCTCTGGTTGTTGTTGTGGTTGTGGAAAGTGGCAGCAGCAGCAGCAGCAGTCGAGGCTTTAGTGCTGACGGCCAAAGTTGTGGGCACTCGGGATCTTTCTGGCTGCAACTGCCACAACTGCAGCTTTGTTGTTGGCGGCAAGGCCGGACATGTCATCGGTGGCGCCATCAGCGAGTCAACCGCCGACGCTGACGCCGATGCGCTAGAAGTTTTTACCATTTAACGTGCACAAAGGCCTGCGATGTTATTCTTTCCCTTGGCTGTTGTTGTTACTCGTTTGGCTGCAGATGACTTCTGGCTTCATTCGCTGTGGTGTTTGCATAGCTTGTTGATTTTGTTGTTGGTGTTGTTGTTTACACAGAAATTGATATTTTATTTCAAAATAAAATAACAACAGAAATGGAACTGAAAATGCATCTTGCAACGCAGTTACAACAACAAGTGCATTTATGAGGAAACGATTTTAGGACATTGGGAGTTGTATTTTGTTATTACACATATTCGTATGTAACTGCTCTGAAGCTGTTTAAATACTGAGAACTACACTATACTTCTGATCCTGCTGATCCGATCAGAAATTGGAAAACTCAGTCATATGTATTGCCATTTGCTTCTTAATATTTTTAAACCAATCAGGAATGGGGAGTATTTGAATGTTTACTCCGGTAGGTGTCCCCTTTATTAGTAGCACACCCTCAAGAAAAGTCGAAATTACCGCCCCCATTATTTTATAATGAAAGAAAACGCAATTTCAAGTTATGTAATGATTTAAATCTTAACTGTTTTTGTTTTTCATTTTATTATTGCATTCTAAATGTATTCGTAAGCTCTATGATTTGCATACTTAAACGCTATTTACAAGTACACACACAAATTAGCATGAAAATTTGCGCTCAAATTGCAAAAATCGAACTCCTGCTGCTCAAGTGTTGAATCCATATGCGTATCGCTTAAATGGCTATCTTTGAAAAGTGTGCGATGAAGTTACTAATGTATGTAGTATCTCTGATTTAAATTTGCGCGCCTAGTTCAGCATTCATACCCACATATGTAGTATGTATGTATAATTATTTACATATGTATGTACGAGTGTAAACATATGTGTAGGAAATACCTTGCTAGCAAGTCTTACCAAAATCGTTGCTGATCATTGGCCGGCAGACGGTACTCAGGACTCGGCACTCGGTAGTTGGTGGCCGGTACCTTGTAATTTATAGTTAACTAAGTCGGCTGCTCTATTGCTTGGCTTGCAGACACCTCGAGAGGATCGTGCTAAGGCTAAACTACAAATGACTTAAAATTACAATTGAAACAATTTGAATTTCTGGGCCTTAGTGCATTCTCATCCGTTCATTGAGTTGGACAACGACAAGGGCGTGGGGTGGGGACCGCATCTCCGTCCTTCGATATCATGTGATTTCGGGCGCACTCTGGGTCAGCTCGGGCGATGTGGAGAAGGGTCTGTGAAGCAACTGGGCACTGTGATGATACGTTGTAGTCGGCTCGTGCGATGGTGCATGTAGCGATGTGGGTGGAGGCCCCGCTGCTGCTGCCGCCGCTGCCACAGCGGTGGAGTTTAGTTTCTCGGGCGAATTGATGCGCAGCTTGGGTGGTGGAGGATGAGGATGAGCAGGAGCCACACACTCAACGCTGTAGGCGGCCGCATAGCTAGGATGGTGCAGATGCGTCGGGGGTCCGCCGCTGCCATTGAGCGCCAACGGCTGTGGCAGCTGTGGGTGCGGCCGTATAACAATCGGTTGTATAGGAAACTGTTGGGACATCTCCTTCAGGTTGCTAAAGCTTTGCAGGTAGCAGCCGGCATTGAAGAGGCTCGTCGCCGTATCCAGCTTAAAGGGGGGCAAACAGGCGGGCAAGGGCGCACCACTAGCTACAGCCACAGCGGCGGCGCCATATGCCGTCGGCAATTGTGGCGAGGGCAGCGAGTTGGTCAAGTCCCGTGGCTTGTCATCGTCCACGCTCAGACTCTCGTCCCGATCGTTGGCGCCGTTCGAGGTGGAGCCGGGACTGTGCTGCAGCTGCAGGCTGCTAGGCACTGGAGAATGCGTTCCCAGCGAAATATCCGAATCGGAGCTGTCCGACGGCGTGGGAGAAGCGGCACCGTCGGGTCGACGGCTGCGGCAGGCCAAGCCCGAATTGTTCTGATTGTGTTGTATGCTGAAACAAGAGAGGGAAGAACGTGTAGTAACATGAAAAATCAGGGAAAAATATCGGTACATTTTAGTAACTTTATGTACTTTTATTACTACTGGATGGCAATTGAAAAGACATTGGTTATACAATTAATTATTGGCTGATATTTATAGATGTGTTATTATATTTACGAGTATTAGTTCTTTCGAGAGAATTGGAGCTTTACAGGCAGATTGTCTAACTGTTTTATAGTGTTTTGGTATGTAGTTCCACTAGTTGGTCATTAAAATGATAAGCCTAAACTGGCCTGCCACTCCAATTAAATACATTTTGTACTAATTGAAAGACTGTCACTATAAATTTCTCGAAAACAGCTTGAATAAGTATTTGAGGACTCTACTTTACATTAAAAATGATGTCAGCTTTTAATTTCAATACTTAAGAATAATATCAGACATCAACAAATCCAGTTAAGGAAACTATGTTTCATTTATTGTTGCTATTTTATAAAACCTCCCATAAGCGAAAACTACCGATGGATGTTCATAGAACTTATATTTAATCTCAGGATTGTAACATTTCCGCCTTTTCATAAACTTTTATTTACTTTTTTGTCACAAGAAGTGCTTCGTAGTCAATAAAATTGTTTCTCCATTTTTATGCGTGTGAGAAACATTGGGAATTATTTAATAGAATTATCTTTTTGTTGTAATCATTTGTATTCCCCTTATCAAATTATATTCAAGAAGAATGCATTCTTTCCCTAAGCGATTCAGTGGCCAGTCCCTCATCTCTATTGGACCATAAATCTTACATAACTTTCACACATTGTTAAGACAAATCGTCTGTGGCCAAAACAAAGGAACACCAATAGGCATGATGACTTGATTAGCCGCCGCCTCAGCAGCTCGCAGAGCATTTATAGAGCCATCAGTAAACTGCAGTCGCAGCTATATTCATCATCTTCATGCACCATGCTGACTCCTGCACTGTCATAATTATCGGGTAGGATTCGCTCAACTTGCCGCAATTTGTTGACCCATCACCATTAATAATGGACCCGGACACTCGTCCTTTGCTCGTGTTGTGTGATTAATGACGAAAATGGCAAATCAGGCAAGCCGACAGTCACAGCCGACAGTGAACGCGTACCCACAAACCGCCTGGAGTTCGAGTTCGACCTGAAGTTGGGGCTGGGGCTGTCGTCGGAGTGGAGTGGAGTGGCGTGGCGTGGAGCTGCCGACTGACGAGAAATATATCTGCGGCTGCCGACACAGAGGCGCAGCTACTTTTTTGTTTTTATACTCCACTCGCGCATGAAATCGTTTAGTTTCTAATGTGCCAACTTGATGGATTACCAGTTGCTCGCACTCCATGCTGCCGCCGAGTGGTCATTATAGCGGCGGCGTGTTGATAAATTGTTTGTGTTTCGGGACCAGGCCCAGTCCCAGTGCCACTGCCAGGCCCAGGCGCGAAAGTGAGAGAGACAGCGACAACCCGCTGCTGCCTTTCGATGTGCCATGTATCACACGGGAAAGATTTGGGCCGTTTAGGCATGAAAATAGCGTCAACTATATAATTGGTATCTAACTATGGGAACGGCCGGTAATGGACGCCTTTCAGCAATGCTGGAGGTCGTTTTAAAATGGCGTCACTGTTCAAAATTTTCCAACACTTGTCCACGTCTATAAAACATATTTACGTGTCTATTTGTTTCAATCTGCTTATAAATTTATGAAAGTAATTTTTATGCAGGATTTGTAAAATATCAAATAGTAAGCCGTGTTGTAAATTTTAGATAAATATCTACAATAATATCTCGCATTCTCAAAAAACAGAGTGTGCTTATAACAGATAAGCTCATTAAAGAAGCCCAAAATATGGGAGAAATTTCGAATCGATATCAGAATCTAACATTTTGAGCTTCAAAAAGAATGCGTTTAGAATGTTCTTGACAAAAATCAGTGGCAGTTCTTTAATCTCATATCCTCTTCTTTTAAAGTCTTATTCTTAAATTGATGACGAAAATAGTATTATTATAATAGTTTTCTTAGTCTTATGAAATTAGAATTCATTTTTTTTGAAAGGACAAATTTTACCAAAACCTCAGATTCAAGTCGAAACTACATTTTCTTTTGCTGGGTCTTACAACAAAAGTTTATTCATGCGTGATCATGGGCTGCGAAGTCTATATACTACTGTTTCCGTAGTATCTTAGCTTTCAATTCGAAAACAATTTGTTTGCATTTTCATATGTTTCATATGAACATCTACTTATATGACATGATCGGTGTTGACACATTATCTGTGACCGCTTAAAAGAAGCCTTGGGGCAAAGGTTCATCGCAATAGCTCAAAAATTGTGGCAGGAGTAGGATTGAAACATTCTATAACATGTCTACCATTCTTGCTTGCTGGTGCTACCAGCTTAGCAAAAACATTAAACGTTTATTCTTTTCAATGAATTGATTCTGTTCCCAACGAAACTATATCAGATTCTAAAGTAAATACATAAGTATATAGGCAGCGCTCTTTTGATACGAGTAGATGGATACTCTGGGACCACTGTCTGTGCATAGCTACTGATGGCATTGAAGCGATGGGGACTACGCTTCACTGCTGACACCAATCCTAATGTGGCCCAAATACTGACATCTAAGCCGATACGGCTGCTGAACGAGCCGGTATATCTCAGTGGAGCAATATTATTAGTTCGCCCGGGGCCTGGTAGCTACTATGTCTGCCATGGCTCTTACCTTTTGGCACGGGCGCTGCTGGGATTGCTTGCGACTCAAGGCCATTTTACGCTTAATTAATACACAACGCACGCTTGGCTTAATCTGCTGGCCAAATAAGAATTGAAAAAAAAAGCTGCTGCAGCACTGAGTTGGATACATCATGAATACGATATATGTTTTCCACACAATTGACTAAACACAGGTCGGAATGGGAATCGGGACGCGAGAAGCACACGGCAGGGCAAGGCAAGGGTTTGATTTTAAGCGATGAAATCTGATACACCGATCCACTGGCACCTACCCTAACCGAAATGACACGTAATTACTTGCTTGGACATCCCAATGGAGTGACATCCAGCTTGCTTGCTTCTGCACACGTTGTTGTTGTTATTGTTGTTGAAATTCGAAACTTTGAAATGTTTTAATCGGCTCATGTCAGAAGATTCGTATGCATTATACAAACGTACCAGATATGTGTGTTTATATTACACATACGAGTATACGTAAAATACTGGCGTGTTTCGGTGTGTGCGGGCATCGATATGTAGAAATTCATTCAAGTGCGAGAACGCTGGTAATACGATCATAGTCAAAATTATTTCATTAGCATTGTAGTGCTAGCCGCGACTCCTGTCTTAGCTGAACACAAATTTCGCATTTTTGTCTCAAACTATACGGGGATCTCTTTATAGCAGACTCAATTTTTATACTCTGTACATGAAATGTACAAGAGTATATTAGGTTTGCGGGAGCTGAAAAATGTAACAGGCAGAAGGAGGCGTGGCAGACCCCACAAAGTATATATATTCTTGATCAGCATGACGAGACGAGTCGATCTAGCCCTGTCTGTCTGTCTGTCCGTCTGTCCGTCTGTCCGTCCGTATGAACACCTGGATCTCAGAGACTATAAGAGATAGAGACACCAAATTTTGCACGAAGATGCGTTATGTGTGTATTCTATACGAGTTTGTTTTATTTTTTTGATTTTCCCCCCCACTTCCCCCCTATGGGGGTTTTCCCGATTTTCCATTCGTATAATCGCCTATATCTCGGAGACTATAAGACCTAGGAACACCAAATTTTAGTCCCAGATGCCTTATGTGAATACGCAGAAAATGTATATTTTGGAATTCCCCTCCCTCCCCCCTCTACCCCGCAAATCGTAACTCCCGTAATTCTTGGAATTTCGAACTAAAATTTTGGAAATACCCCCAGTTAGTTATTATGTGTCCGTATGACAAATTTCATTATGATAGACCGATTTACCAAGAAGTTATAGCCATAAATATATTTGCTGATGCAGCGCTGCTGCAGCGCTGCTCAAGCGCTGCCCGCGGCTGTTGTTGATGTTGCTGTTTGGTTGACTGCGAAAATGCTTACACAGACACGAATTGATGCGCATAGGCATACATACACTCACACAGACGCAATTGCTATGTAAATGTGCAATTATACACCCTTTACGTGAGTTCGAATACCGAGAGAGGTAAAATCGATCATATTTTTTTTTTATTTTCTTAATTTTTTTTATTTTCTATAATTATTGTAAACATATGTACAGAGTATTTCAAAGTCGGGACACCCGACTTTAGCTTTTTTACTTGTTATTTAATAACTTGGCTTTCGAAAATATTGCTATAAGAATCTTTTGTTGGCGTAACTTAAAGGTTAACCTTTATGAAAGGGAGCTACGCAGAGGTATTCCCGATTTAAGTCTATTAACATGAAAATATGTAGCAAGGCTATAACCGTAAAATTCAGTTTCTTCACTATCAAATTGCTTTTAGCTTCTTTGAAGCAAACGCAAAAACTTCCAAAATAGAATCCTTAAAGTAAAGGATTATATATTTCAATTATTTTCATATTTCAAGGCAGTCTATTATTTCCTTGAACTTACACAAATTCAATTCTAAATAAATTATCAAGTACAAAATATCAATTACAAAACAATCAGTTTAAAGTAGAAGATCTATCATAATTTGTATATATTATTTGTGTTTCTGTTTGTTTTCTTTAAGAACAAATAATAATTAATAATAATCATTCTAGTTTCTGTTCCGTAATAAAATTGAACTTATTTGCTGAGCTTCCAAAGGAAAATAATGGGTGACAGAATTTGTAACTAATTAATACAAATTTGATGACTATAATACAACATCTAGTATGTATGTAAATACACATAATAGTTTTGATATATAATTTGAAACTTGTGCTGGCTTGCTGAGTAAATTGTCAATAAATTGCTTATCAATTGACTGAGCCGTCAATAAAGTGTATATACATATG